AGTGTGAGCACACCGGCTCGTAACCATACCAAATATTTACATCCCAAAATAAAATATAAATAAAGTGTTATTTTACACGCTATAAAATGCATAAGTAATACACATAGCCAAAAGAAAAAAAAACAGACACAATTACCTCCATTGACAACTCCCAACTGGTCATCTAAACTCGGCAGTGGACTCCAGGCTTGTGTACAAGTTACCTAAAAAGATTTTAAGAAAATATTCAATGAGTAACTAGTAGCTTCCCATAGATATAATAGGAATTAACAAAATACGATAATTCATTTGCCATAATACATTATCCATAACCTCATAACTTAAATGTGAGTTCCTATCTCGTTGCACTACAACCGTACATGGAAATAAAAACTTTGTCACCCAAGCAACATGTATCGTAAGATTGTATCATCACATAGATATCATTTGTCACTCAGACATCTCAAGCCACATCAATAGTTTTCATCCTTCAGATGACCCAAGCCACATAAATAATTCTCATTCGCATCACTTAGACGACCCAACCATATAACTAGAATTGCATAGCTAATTTTCATCACGTAGAAAACTCATATTGAACCATTAATGCTCTCATTTAGATAGCTTACAATCTCTTAATATTCCCCGTCACGTAGACATATCAAATCACATAATTATCTTCTGTCACATCATATAGATGGATCACATTCACAAGTAAATTCACCACACACACAGTCAACTCAAATCTTATGTATATATTCCATCATGTGGTCAATCCAAGCCACAAAGGTTTTCTTTGTCATTTAGACAACCTCCATCACATAAGAATAGTTTACCGTTCAGTTGATAAGTCTAAATAGAAATCATAACATAAACATATAAACAAAGCTTAAGTATTTATTAATAAAAGATATAGGGTCACCTACCTTGTGTGGAATTCTACCTTATAGATGACCCCTCCGCCAGAGCTTTGAGTGTGGCATTCCTTGAGGTGTTTGCCTCTTGGCCAGGCATAACCAATATCCACAAATACACTCAGATATTAATATGTAATATTGCTTAAGTCTGAAATATTTTATTCAAACTAAATTTAATTATCAATTCGAGTTGAATTAAATAATCCATTTGCTTAGTTAGAATAAAATAATCTTCTTGATGATGTTCTTAACACGACTGAGTAGCGAGTGATTACGAAGTGTAATGAACAGTTAGATATAGTCCAGTCTAAGCTCCAAAGCTCTAGGGAATAGGATTTGGGGATAAGTGGATGATGATTACACAGAGTGTTTATAGTGCTTCACCAGCTCGAGAGCTTGGTTAATTCACCCTCAATGGAGTCTCTTGCTCTTGAGTATGTTGATTACTATGTGAAGTTTCTAGAGAGTGTTTTTGTGAGGCTACAATGGCTTGTCTTTTACTTTCGAGGGCTTTGCCTCCTATTTATAGTTATCCCTTGGTCTTGCTTGATCTGAGGCGAGATCCTTGTCCTTCCCTTGTAACAGCTGCCCTTATTGCGTAATGAGACTTGCGCCTTCTGAGTAATTATTGCTACAAATAGTAGGATCTAGTTGTCCTTTGCACAGTCTTCCTCGAGATGTGGACACAGGGAGCTGAGGTCTGTAAATAACATAGATGAGCTAAGCTCCCGACCTAAGTAGCATGACCTAGGTTACCGAACTTAACCTTAGGTATTTTTGTGGTACCATAAGTTTCCCCTCAGTCCCTAGTCAAACAGGTTGATTTGAGCAGGGAATATGCCAGGGTGAGATGAGTAATGTTGCTTGGGGTCGACTTCAATTTGCGCATGATAGAACTTCATTCTAACGATTATAGCGAACGTATAATCATTTTTTTCTTGTTTCTTGTGCACTTCCCTTATTTCGAGGGTCCACGTACGCTTGGCTTTAAATGTTATTGCAAACGAAGAAACCGTTTCACATTTTCTCGAACTCTCTTCAAATTTTGTCTTCGGGCTTTACTTCTCTCTTCTTCCCTTACAATTTCATCTTCCCAAATTTGTTGGATATCTAGGGCTTTGCTGGTGATCCCCAAATTCAATTTGAAGATTCTACGAGGCTAACATAGTCCATTCCTCAAATTTGTCCTGGATTTTTGGTTGTTGCTTGTTTTCAACTAGGTACGCTATTTGCCCTATTCTTCTTTTCTTCTTTTTTTCTAAATCCCTCGAATTTGAGGTGGTGGTTTAATTTTTGGACCTTTCACTTTTGTTACTTTAAAAATTGAGATCGTTTCTTGTCCTCCCTTCCTCTCTTCTTGGATCCCTATTCTATTGCTAGGATCTTTCTCTTCAGTCACTGGTGTCTTGACCCCTTAGCCCTCAAGGACAGCTTAGACAATGTTCCTTTTCCTTATACCTCTTTTCATCTCCCTTTCTCGAACCCAACCATGTTTGCCATTTCAGAAGCTACAGTTTCATCTATTTCTCTTGCCTTAGGCAAGAAGTCTCCTGAGCTGGAGGAGAACGACTTGGGCAATGTAGGTGATGAGATAGACAACTTTCTTGGTGTTGATTCTATTGATGCTATGGAAGAGGTCGAGGCCCTTATTTCATCATCTTCCCCTGTTCTGAGGTCTAAGAGATCTTGGAAAGGGAAATCCAAGGTGAGTGGTGTTGGGGCTTCTAGTAGTGTTGGAGAGATAGAGGTTGCCCCAGAGCTTCAGAACTTGTTGGTTTTAGTTAGTTCACCTTTCCTTTTATGAGCGTCCTTTCAGCTCAATTTGGGTTTCCCCAGGGAATGCAGTATTGGTGCCCACTTGTAGATATTCGGTATGACTCCTAGGTTCCTAAGAAAATTTTCTTCTTTGTAGCTTCTTTCGAGAACGGTCTACATTTCCCTATGCACCCCTTTCTTAAAAGTAATCTCCAACTCTTCAACATTAGCCCTGCTCAACTTTCCCCCAATTTTAGGGATTTCTAGCGGGTCTTCTTGTTTTCTTCAAGAGAAACAAACTTGGTATCGCCACTGTACATTTGCTCATGAAGTTCGTCAATGTTAAGTTCACTCCCTCTGACAGTTTCTTGTATATTTCTAGACAGGTGAAGACCCAACTTCTTATAACTGACTTCCCAAGCTCCCATAAGGGTTGGAAGAAGTTTTTCTTCTTCATGTCTGGGAAAGAATGGGCGTATAACCCCAGAGACGCAGCTGACACACTCTTTGTACCTCGAGCTTGGTCTAACCCTAATAATCTGGGTAAGTTTTACTTAAATAGGTTTGATCCAGCCTCAATGTTTCATTCTGCTAACCATGTTTCTCTTATTTCTTTCAGGTATTCGACCCGACCTTAGTGTTGAGGACAGTATAGTTTTGTTGGGTACTTACTAAGCTCGGGTTTAGTCCTCTCGAGATGAGAGTAGATGCCCCTATTCCTATCTCTGTAGTTGGCGCATAAGGTTTTGCTGGTAATGCTTCTCTCCCTTTATCCTTAACTCTTATTTTAATTATTTTCTATTCTTACTGTTCTATTTACTTTTGCTCTACAGGTTCCAACCCAATGGCTCCAGACGCCAAGGCTGTGAAGGCTAAGATTGTCTTTACGAAGAAGGATAGACGTGGGAGAAAACGCAAGGTTGCAGTTGGGTTTGGGAATGACTCGGCTTTTCTTTCAAAGGTGTAGAGGACAGAAGTACCTTCTTATCCTCCTCCTTCCTAAACGGTCCTTACGCTGCCATCGAGTTTACAAAAGGACACCCCGACCTCAACTTCTCAATGGATCTCCTCCCTTCTCCTCATAGGGGCTTCTGGACAAGCGGAGGCCTCCTCCTCTCCTTCTTCGACAGAGGTCGCAGAGGATCTGGAGTCCATTGCTCTTTTCCTACAAGACCCTCCCCTCCCCGACCTGCTGAGAAGATCATCATCTATTTATGGAGAGTTTGGCAGCAAAAGATGAGAAACGCAAGGGCTCACTTATCAGGAACGTGGGTTTTGCTGCAAAGGTCATCGCTTTGGTTACCCCTGACTCAAATATTCAGGATGTCGCTGCTATTCCTCTCCATACTACTGCCACTACCGCCTTTTATGGTGCCACTTTGGTAATTTTTTGATTTCATCGGGCTTTATTGCTGCTTCATGTCGTTGCCTTGTACTGACTTTGATTTTTCTTATTTTTCTCTTAGTTGGCCATTCTTGTAAGCCCTCTGGTGAGCCAGGTCTGGGCTCTAAGAGACACAACTGAGGAGGCTCAGAGAGCTTTGAAGGCATCTGAGCTCAAGGTTTTTGAGCTAAGATTTTCTAATGCTGACCTCAAAGCTCAAGTTGAGGAGCTGGCCTCTGCCAACAAAGTTTTGCTCCAGGCTCGCAAGGATGTCTTAGAGGCCCTTGAATCCTTCAAGACAATGAAGAAAGAGTATGACTTGTTGGTTGAGGTCAATGCTGCTCTACTGAAGGAGATTGAGGCTGAGAGGGCTACAACTCAAAAGAAGAATGCTCTAATCACTAAACTTAAGGATGAGGTTGGTACCAACTAGACCACTAGGTACCTTACTTTTCAGGATCAAGATGTGGAGAAGTATCCATACTTGAACTTTGAATTTGAACTTCCTTTGGATAAGGAGAATGAGAAGTCAAGTGTTGAGAAGAAGACAGAGGTCTTAGCTTTTGTTGATGCTCTTACAGAGGTCTTAGTTCCTAGTGATATCCCTGTTAACCTTGAGGCTCAGACTCCTAGGGTGACTTTACCGCCAGCTAAAGTTGAAGCTCCTGCTCCTGTCCTTATTGAGGCTCTTCTCCCTTCAATTGTTTCTTCTGCTCCTGAGCCATCTGGGGCTTCTCTTACTGCCGCTGAGCTACCAGAAGACACTTCTAATCCTTCTGTAGGGACTTAGGATTTTTGAGGAATTTCTATTTTTTGCGTCTTTGTGTACTTAGAAGATCTTGTACTTTGCTTTTTGAGAAATAAAAATATTCTTTTGAAATTGGTTTGTTCTTCTGTTATTCCCCTCTGCCCCCTTTGCTTCGAGAACTCTATTCTTCTAGAAGTGAATCTGAATTTTGCCAAGTATGAGGTCTTCCCTTATGTCTGTTGAGCTTTAGCTGTTTGCTTGGAGCTTCTTCATTGTTGAAAAACTTATCTTAGTAGCAGTAGAGATGTTTATCCTAATTTTTACGAGCTAAAGAACTCTTCGAATGCTTATGAGCTGAAGAGTTCATCCTTGGTTTATGAGCTTATTCTAACTCTACTCAAGCAACTGCTCAAGCTACCTGAGATCAATGCTGAGGAGTCTTACATCTTTGTATGCTCTTATGTTCTTGCTTTGTATTCTGTCTTTTCCCCTTCTACTACAAACAGGTCTTTAGCCATTTAAAGTGATAAAGGAATTGTTATTTATGCCCACCTACCTTTTTAAAGCTTTATTTTGTCTAACCGTCGACATGATTATGGAAGTGTAATAGCTACCTCTTCCCCTTCGCGTGTTATTTGCTTCCTTAAATCCGGGGATTCCTTATTTTTCACATAAAGCTTAGGATTTCTTATTTTTTGTGATCTCTCTTAGAACTTCTCTTATCTTCTGCTCCATCTTGCTTCATGGATTCCTCTCCTACTCCACTGTTCCACCACCAAGCCAAGCCCAAGCACTCCGTATTTCTGCTCTCTTCCATAATTATGGCTTTAGAGGTGGAGGATGTTAGGAGGCAATACCTTCTTCCTTATGCCTTGACCATCCGAGTCCCAACCCTTGATGAGCCCTGAAACCTTGTCCTTTGGTGGGAAGTTTGTTTCTTCGAATGTGCTTTTGAGATGAGTCTTTGTTTGCCTATCCATCCCATTGTTGGAAGGGTTCTAGCCTTCTATGGATTATGCCCCTCTTGTCTTTCCCCAGAAGGATGGTGTGCTCTAATAAGCTTTTTTATTTTTTGGCACATGCAAGGTAACTGTGAATTTTCCACTATTGTCGAATTCCTCTACTTTTATCATCTTCTTTTTAACATGCCTCCTTGCTTTAGTCGTTTCACATGGAGCACCATTTCGAATCTTCGCTAGTCCTCGATGCCTCTAGCTCTCTAGAGGGGTGGACTCAGTATTTTTTCTTTATTTCTAGAGACTCTAGGAGTCTGTTGAGGCGTAGTCGGAGCGTGCTTGAGTTCCTCGCTCTTGGGGGCATTTTTCTGACATAGGTAAAGGATTAGGATTTTTACTCTCCTCTGCGATTTTCAAACATTATAATAAGTCTTAATTATGCTTATGTTATGCATGTGCTCCCAGTTTGAACCCTGACAAACCGAAGAGAGTCAACCGAGTGGCTTGTGCTGAGGCTGTCCCCTACTTATTGTTAGTCACTTCCTAGAACCTTCACTGGTTCACTGGTTCACTGGTTCACTGGTTCACGACTGGTGCTAGCTCTGTTGCTATCCTAGATGCTATCTCATGCCCTTTTTCTCCTGCTGTTGATGTAGACTCCTCTTCCACTGAATCGGGTAAGGATGTTGTTATTTCTTCAAGGAAGCATAGGAAGGGTAGCTCATCACCACAATCGTCAGGTTCCTCCTCTAGTGATATCAAGTTTACAACTGCAGAGCAGAAGCATGCAAAAAAGTAGCTCTCTGAGGTGGATAAGGAACGTGATGAGCTAATGGCTGAGAATACTCATCTATAGGTTGTGAACGTGCAGTTGGAGGGGTAGATATTTGAGTTGAAGCAGAGACTTGGGTGCTTAGAAATTTTTCCTTTTCTTCTTTCTGTAACCCTTCCATTCTTATGAATATAAAACTTTTTCTGTTGGATGCGTTGCTTACTTCCTTGTTATTCTATTCTGTTAATTGTAATGCTTAGACTGAATTGTGCCAAGTATGAGGGTTGTCCTCAGCCTGCCCAATATAGTTGCATGCCAAGAGCTTTGTTTATAAGCTGATGAGCCCATGAGCTAAAAAGCTCATCATTTTTTTATGAGTTAAAGAGACCATCTTTTGTTTATGAGCTGAAAAGCTTATCGTTTACTTATGAGCTCAAGAGCTCATCCTTTGTTTATGGCTGAAGAGCCCATCTTTTGTTTATGAGCTGAAGAGCACATTTTTTGTTTACTTATGAACTGAAGATCTCATCTTTTTTTGGGTGAAAAGCCTATCTTTTGTTTATGAGCTAAAAAGTTTATCGTTTACTTATGAGTTGAAGAGCTCATCTTTTTTTATGGGCTAAAGAACCCATCTTTTGTTTATGAGCAGAAGAGCTCATCTTCTACGTATGAGCTGAAGAGTTCATCATTTGTTTTAAGCTAGAAATGGTGTGTTGATTGAGCTGAACTTGTTGATTTATTGAAGATGGACTTTTATAAACGTTTATTGAAAAAAATTCTTACGATGATCTGCGTTCCAGGAGTAAGGCAACATTTTTCCTTCCTCCACTTGCAGCTTGTAATTCCCAGGTCTGATTATCTTTGTTATTATGTATGGGCCTTCCTAGTTGGGTCTCAGCTTTCTAAGTGGAATCCATTTCTGTAGGGAGGAGTTTTTTGAAGACCAGGTCTCTGACTTTGAAGCTTTTGTGCCAGACCTTCCTATTATAATATTGAGCTGCCATTCTCTGATAACTCATGATTCATTGCAAGGCTATGTCCCTCTTCTTATCTAAGAGGTCGAGGTTGAGCAGAATTGACTCATAATTATGCTCAAGTTTGGAGAGCTCTGTCCTTGGGGATAGGATGCCTATCTCCACAGGAGCTACTTCCTGGGTTCCGAATGCCAAGGCAAACGGCTTTTCTTGAGTACTGACCTGGTTGTAGTTCTGTAAGGCCATAATACCTCTGGAACGTGTTCTACCCATTGTCCTTTTAAGGCTATGAGTTTGGTCTTCAAAGCTGCCTTTATAGTCCGTATAGTTACTTTTGCCTACCCATTCGACTAAGGATGAACTGGAGCTAAGAAGTAATTCCTTATGCCCAACTCGGCACAATTTTTTTTGAATTTGAGGTTTTCTAATTGCTTCCTATTGTCTGAGACGATTGTCCTAGGTATCTTGAACCTGTAAATTATAGATTTCCAAGTTAAGTTCTGAACCTTTTGCACTGTAATTGATGCCAAGGGCTCCATTTCAGCTCATTTGGTGAAATAATCCATTCCAACAATAGCGAATTTGCATTGTCCAGTGCTGGTGTGAAGAGGTTCAAGTGTGTCTAATCCCCACTATTGGAATGGCCAAAGGCTGATTACTGGGGTGAGGAGCTTTGGTGGACAGTGGGGGATGTTGGAATGTAGCTGGCAGGTCTTACACCTTCTAACCAGTTTTGTTGTGTCTTTGAGTAGTGTGGGCCAAAAGTAACCATGCCTCAGCGTTGTACCTTCTAGATTTTGAGCTCCAATGTGATTACTGCAAATGCCTTCATGGATTTCCCTAGAATATAGTTAGTTTCTTTGTCTCCCACGCACCTCAGAAGATATGTTGAGAAGCCTCGTTTGTATAACTTCTCGTGGATGAGGATGAACCTAGACGGTCTGGCTCTTAGTTTTGCTGCTTCTTTGGTGTTTACTGGTATGGCTCTGTTTTGGAGATACTTTCGGATTTGGTCCATCCAAGTTTGCTGACTCTGTATTGGGAACACCTGCTTATCCTCGAAGCTAACCAACAGCTCAACAAGGTGCTCAACTGGAATTAATTTTTCTAAGTTTTCTTGGGAAGCTGTGGCTAGCCTTGCTAAGGTGTCAGCTCCTAGGACGTGTATGACCTTAAACTGTATGAATTTTTTCATTAACTCCTGTACCTTCCTCAGGTATAGAATCATTATCTCTCAATTTGGCTTCACAAGTCTCCTCAATTTGCGTCGCCGCGAGCTGGGAGTCGCTGTAGATCATAAGCAGTTTTGCCTCCACGAAATGTGTCATACTGAGCCCGACAATGAAAGCTTTGTATTCTGCTTCATTCTTTGAAGCCTTGAATCTGAACCTGATGGCACATTTGATATCTATCCCGTTAGGGAAGGTCAGAAGCGTTGGTGGTTCTAGCTACCGAAAGCTTCTATGTGGGGAGGTCGGGTACTAGCTAAGTTGCCTCCATGGATGTTTCTGGGGGTATAGTAAATTTCGTAATAAAATTTTCCAATATTTTCCCTTTGATTATTGTTCTGGGTTTGTATCTGATATCAAACTCACTGTGCTCTATGGCCCATTTGACCAGTCTTCCTGAAGATTCTTGTTTGTACAGCACCTACTTCATTGGTTGATCTATTGAGATCTCAATGGTGTAAACTTGGAAATATGGTCTGAGTTTCCTTGCTGTTGTAACTAGAGCTAGGACTAGTTTCTCCATTTTTGAATATCTCTCCTCTGCTCCCCTCAGAGTTCTGCCACAGTAGTAAACTGGTTATTGAGCTCTATCTTGCTCTCTGAACAGTGTTGCGTTGGTTGAGAAATCCGAAATAGCGAGGCACTGGTTGAGAACTTCTCCCTCCAAAGGGCTCACCAATATTGGAGGCGAGCTCAGATAGGCTTTAAGGGCTTTGAATGTTCCTCGCAGCACGTATCCCACTTGAATGCCTTTTTTAAGGTCTGGAAGAAGGGCGGGCACTTGTCGCTTGATTTAGAGATGGAGCGACTTAGGGTTGTTATACTTCATGTTAAGCATTGGACCTCCCTTATATTTGAAGGTGGTTGCATGTCTATCATTGCTTTGACCTTTTCTGGGTTTGCCTTTATTCCTCTGTTGTTGACTATGAAGCCTAAGAACTTCCCAGTAGAGACCCCAAAGGCACATTTAGCTAGGTTGAGCTTCATCTGGTATTTCTTGAGGATCTGGAAAGATTCTTCAAGGTGCCCAATGTGGAGCTCAACTTTCAACAACTTCACCAGCATGTCATCAATGTATACCTCCATTGATGCTCCAATATATTTTTGGAACATTCGGTTTACCAAACGTTGTTAAGTAGCTCAAACATTCATTAGTCTAAACAGTATGACCCAGTAGTAGCATGTCCCCTACTCAGTCACGAAAGAGGTCTTCTCCTGGTCGTTGGAGTCCATTCTGATCTAGTTATACCTAGAAAAAGTATCCATAAAGTTGAGGAGCTCATGTCCAGCTATGGCATCTACAATCAGGTCAATCTGAGGTAAGGGGAAGCTGTCCTTGGGGAAAGCTCGATTTAGGTCAGTGAAGTTGATGCAGAAGCGCCACTTGCCATTTGATTTCTTGACGAGGACCGCATTGGCTAACCAAGTCGGATAGTCTACCTCTCTGATGGCTTTGGAGTGGGGAAGTTTGTTGACCTCCTCATTGATCGTTTTTTGGCATTCTAGGGAAAAATTGCTCTGCTTCTGTTTGATGGGTTTGAAGGTCAGGTTCACGTTGAGCTTGTGCATGATGACTGAGGGGTCAATCCCT